TACTCTGTGAGCACTGTGCCCTAGTGAAAGGTCTAGTATCCACAAAACTATGTGAGGAGAAACCAGTGTTTTATAAATAAGCCACTTCTTGGGGCTCAATTGACAGTATGTTGCCTTGCATGCAGCCAACCAGTGTTCCGGCATCCAATATGGTCCCCTGAACCCTGCCAGGAGTAATTTCTGAGTACAGTGCCAGGAGTAAGCCCTGAGCATCAGTGGGTGTGGCCCAAAAGCCAGAAATCAAATCAAATCAAAACAAGTCATTTCTTTCTTTCTTTCTTTTATTTTTTGTAGGAGTACTGCTATTTATTCAGCCACTGATTAGCTGATTGAATTGGGCATGAACTCCACCTTAGTTTTTTTAAAATTTTATTTATTTATTTTTTTTATATTTATTTATTGAATCACTGTGGGAAAAGTTACTAAGCTTTCAGGTTTAAGTCTCGGCCATACAATGATCAAACACCTTTCCCTTCACCAGTACTCAATTTTCACCAACAAGAACCCCAGTATACCCCCCCACCCCTCCAAATGCCTGTGAGGCAGATGATTTCTACTTAACTCTTCTCTACCTTGATTACATTCATCATTTTGACAAAAGTTGCACCATTATAAAAGAAGTCATTTCTTTGGAGGAGTGTTTCCTGTTCTTCTACCTGCGCTCCCAGGGTCAGTCCCCCGCTGTGCATCAGCACCAGGGCCCTGGATGCCTGCAGCCTCTTACTTTCTCCTCTCGTTTCCTGTCCTCTTTTCTGCTTTAAGAGGAAGGAATCACTATGAAATGGTGCAGAGCAGATGCTGGAAGAGCAGCTTCTGGAGGGCAGATGTGGTTCATTTCTGAGCGATCAGAGTACCTCATAGATTTGAAGCATGAACCAGAGAAATGTGAGCTTGCTAAGGAGAAATACTGAAAAGCAATAGTTCCCACGTCGCAGACATGCCCGCTAGGATGCTCCCAAAAGCCCAGTGGGAAGGAAGGGGAGCTGCTCCCGTGCCACAGTCCGCGTGACACCCTGAGGCTCCCGGCCTTGGGCTCCCCCAGGGCACTGGGCACAGCCATGTTCTGGGTTGTGTTAAGTACACGAAGGTGGTGAGTGTGTGCGTGTGTATATGTTTGTGTGTGTATATATATGTCTGTGTGTCTGTATGTCTATGTGTATCTATATGTCTATATGTGTCTGTATGTCTGTGTGTATCTATATATCTGTGTGTGTTTGTATGTCACTGTGTCTGTCTTTGTATCTGTATGTCTGTGTGTGTCTGCATGTCTATATTTCTGTGTGTGAATGTGTCTGCTGGCTCTGTGTCTGTCTGTGTCTATGCGTCTGTATGTCTGTGTGTGTGAATGTATGCATGTCTCTGTGTGTGACTGTGTGTGTGTGTTTAAAGACAAATGGAGACAGCTACAGTGGGATCACTAACATTATACTCCTAATTTCTGTTTAATGAAGGTTATATTCCTTTTGGGCTGGAGCGATAGCACAGCAGGTAGGGCGTTTGCCTTCGACATGGCTGACCTGACTGACCCAAGTTTGATTCCTCCGCCCTTCCCGGCAAGCTACCGAGAGTATCTCGCCCACACAGCAAAGCGTGGTAAGCTATCCGTGACGTATTCGATATGCCAACCACAGTAACAACAAGTCTCACAATGGAGACGTTACTGGTGCCCGCTTGAGCAAACTGATGAACAATGGGAGAACAGTGCTACAGTGCTATATTCCTTTTATAAAAATAAATCAGTGGAAGAAACAGTGCAACATGCAGGGAGGGCACTTGCCCTTCACACGGCCAACCCCCACCTAGCAGCACACCTGAGCCCCACCCAGAGCAATCCTGGACCACAGAGCCAGGAGTAAGTCCTGGGCACACCTAGGCATGGCCCCCAAGTGTCAACCAAATACAAGACAGAACAGAATCCCTGCGGTGGAGGCGCGGCACTGCCACGGGTCTGGCTGACTGGCAGGACAGTGCATGCCCTCAGCACGTCTGCTGAAGGCTGACCCACGAGGAAGCAGGACATCTGTGTCAGCAAACAGGGTGGCAGGGATGAGGCAGAAGCCTCCTTATTCCAGCCTTCCCAGGGAAACCCTGGGTGAGACCCAGTCTTACGGAACCCCCCACTATGAAGGGCAGCCCCTCAGCAAGGCCACCAGCCCCCCCCATCTCGCCCGCTGCGCGGTCTGCTCTGTGTTCATGCCTCCACACAGCTCGCAGTGCTCCATCCCTGCTTCCTGACCGTCTCCTCTGCTTGAGTCCCTCCCTGGGATTTGCATCTCCAAAGCTGTTTACTGCAAAATCCACTTAGGCGGCGTCTAGCATGGTCTGGAGGAAGTGTTGGAAAAGTGACAGAACCTGAAAATAGTGATGCTGTTCACATGGTGGAGAAAGGTTCCCTTCAGAACCCTGCATGGGGAAAGGTAAACAGTTAAAAGGGGAGTGCTGGCAGAAATTTCCAAATGAATGGAATGTCTCTTAACCCTTCATAAACTTGAATGCTCTCATAACGTTTTCTACATCTATCATGAGGCTTAAAAAAGAATCTTACTGGGCAAACACCTTGATTTTATTTTTGACGCTTTTAAAACCAAAAAGAAGCAAATATGATGCCACTGAGTAAACAAGAAAATATATTTTTATTTTGGAGTTTGATACGCTTTTCTTGTTCTTTTCTTCTTTTTGGTTTCTGAGCCACGCCTGGCGATGCTTGGCTCTGTACTTAGGAATCAGTTCTGGTGGAGCTCGAGGGGCCATATGGGGTGCCAGGAAGAAAACCTGATTAGTCGTATCCAAGGTAAATGTCTATCTGCTGTGGCTCAGGGCCACAATGCTGCTTTGCTGGCAGTGCTCCCGGTAGGCCAGACACATGGGGGCTGTGGAGGGTGCTGGGCTGAGGCTGATTCCCTCACCCCCCAGGGCACTTCTTCGGCCCAAGGTTCTGCAGACTCTGTCAACTGCAGAGGGGCCTCTGCTGGGTGCCCCCACAGGACCAGAAAGACCTGGTCCTTCACACTCACTGTCTTTCAGAAAACTGATATTCTCAGAACCTTCATTTATCTCAAGATCTTCCTCTTCCTCAGTGAGTTTCTCTTTCTGCTCTCAATGAGCTCAGGCACAATGCAGAAAATTCAGAAGATACAAAGGAGGGAAAAGCAAGACTCCTTCCTTCGATTCTCCAGTCATACCGTCCCTTCTGCAGAGGCAACATGATGGCTGGTTCCCAAAGACCCCAAGTCTGTCCCCTCTGACATCCCTTCCCTCTGTCCCAGACACCACAGCCACCAGCTTAGGCCTAGTCTTCCTCGTCCCCTTTCTGGTCCTGTTCAACTTCTGGCACATCCAGAGGTGCCCCTCCCTTCTTAGGGTGTTTTTGTAGCATTTTTAATCACACTTTTAGTGGCTATTCTGGCTTCTACTGCCTTACTAGTCCTTTGAGTACTCTTGTACCTCTGCCATTTGCCATGTGGACAAGTGAGACTACAGGAGAAATACCACTAAGTGGAACTGTTGGGTCATAGAGTGTGTAAATCAATTCTGATGATCCCGGACTGTCCCTCATGGGTGCTCATCCCTCTCACTGGGAGGTGCTTTTCAAACCTCCTTGCTACACAGCTGAAAGGCACAAAATGCTGCAACTTTTTTTTGTTGTTTTGTTTTGTTTTGGTATGACACCCAGTGATGCTCAGAGGTTATTCCTGGATCTGCACTCAGGAGAGTGCTCCTGGCAGTGCTCGGGGGAGCATATGGGACAACAGGGATTGAACCCAGGTTAGCAGCACGCAAGGCAAGTGCCTTATCCACTGTGCTATTTCTCCAGCCCTCAAACCTTTTAAGCCTGGGGCTTTAAGCAAAGGGGCCTCTGCAGAGTCTGGAGGAATCCACTGCCCAGGAAGATGGAATTCATGCAAAATGCAGAGGGCACAGAACTCAACTGCTGCCGTGAGAAATTCCAGAAGTTTCTTCCACATGATTTAGCATGTCAAAGGAGGTTGGAGAAATAAGAATGGCATGATGCTTCTCCACTCTGGGTCTAAGGTATGGCAGGAAAAAAAGCAGGAACAGGAAGCAGGAGTGGTGTGAGCTGAGACCAGGGGCACCAGAGAACAGAAGGGGGCAGGAGGAGCCAGTACTTCCATCTGAACCCCAGGAGAGGACACAGGAGAATTTAGTTCTTTACAGGCAGGAGGAGGGAGGGGTCCACTAACCAGCAGAGAAGCCCAGACTGACTGTGGCCAACTCACCCATCACACAAAGTCACAGGTCGGTAAGGATTCTGGCTTATGTCCCTCCTTCCTCGCTCCCACACAGAATCATCATCCACTTAATCCAAACGCTTTCACTTCTTTGTGTAATTTGTCAGTCGGACTGGCCTAACTCCACCTTTTCCAGCAAGATCTTCTAGTTCACGCACAGTGTGCATCTTGGTGCATGTCAGTCCAGCATCCCCCATCAACTAACCCTCAGCAGGGCTGCCTTCAAAGACCTGTTGGAGTTATTATGTTTTGGGGCCACACCCAGTTCTGTGCTCCTAGCTCCGCACTGAGGGATCGCTCCTGCTGGACCTGAGGGACCACGTGTGGTGCTTGGGATGGAACTCGGGTCAGCACGTTAGCTGCGTGCAAGGCAAGCGCCTTCACCTTCTCCAGCCCAAGATTCTAACCGAACCTCATCCTCCGAGGGCAGCAAACATTCTACCGGATGCAGTGCAAACATGCAGAGCTGCTTCGCCCAGTCCACGCTCCCGCTTTCCTCCAACACAGACACGCGCGCGCGCCCAGCCCCAGCCGCGATTTCCCGGGTCCTGCAGTTCTGCACCCCCACCCCCACCTCCGAACCGGCTGGTCTCTGGCCTCCGGGGACTCCCGCGCCCGGAGCCCTCCTTCCCCTGGATGGGGCGGGGCGGGCGCCGCCCTGCCGGCCGGGAGACGCGCGCGCCCCGAGCTCGGCTCGCGCCCCTCCCGCACGCGCCCCGCTCCCGAGTGCCTCCCGCGGACCGCGCTCACCTGTAGGCCCAGGGGGACACGCTGCGCAGGTGGGTGGGCGGCCGGAGGCGGCGGTCGGCGGGCGGGCGCCCCGCGGGGCAGCCCTGGGGGCGCGCCTGCTCGCGCGGGGGCTGCAGCGTGTGCTGGAAGGCGCCCAGCACGCCCGCCGCCAGCCGCCCGTACAGCTGCTCCAGGAGCTCCGCGGGCCGGTCCGCGCAGCCCCGCCGGCGACCGGGCCTCGGGGCGCCCGCGCGCGGCGGCAGCGCCAGCGCCAGCAGGACGCCGAGCAGCAGCAGCAGCCGGACCTGCGGGACAGGCCGCGTGAGCGCCGCGACCCCCGCGCCCCCGCCCGCCGCATGGGCGCCGACCACGCCAGCCCGCGCGCTCCCGCCCCGGCCGCCCGCCGCCCGCGGGGCCCCGCCGTGCCCGCCCCGCGCCCGCCCGCGCGCCCGCGCCCGCCGCCGCCGCCGCCCCGGGCCGGGGGGCGCGCGGGGGGCTGCGGGCTGCGCGTGTGCCTGTGCCTGCCCGGCTGCTGCGCGGCGGGCTGCGAGTGCCCCTGACCCGGGTGCTCACCCCCGCGCGCGCCATGCCCGCTCCCCGCCGACCCCCGCGCCCCCGCGCCCGCCCCGCCGCGGCGCCGCCCCCGCCCCGCCCCGCCACGGGGCCGCCCCGAGGGTGCGGGGCCCGGAGCGGGGGCGCGCGGGGCCGGAACGCCGCGACCGAGCTGGGACGCCGCCCGCCTCGGGACGCCGGGCCGACGGTGCCGGGTCGGCCTCTCCGTCCTCCGCGCTCCCTGACCGCGTCCGTGCCTGGACCGAGGACCCTCGCGAGCCGCCGGGACGCTCGGACGCCAGACCCCGCCCGGGCGCGGGCTACCCGGGGCCTCCCGCCGCCGGCACTGACCTAAGCGGGGCAGACGACGGGCAGAGACCGCGGCTCGTGGACCCCGGAGTGTCTGCAGCTGGGTTCCAGTTGCGCGACGTTAAAAACGAAACGCTTTGTCAGAGCCTTTGGAAATGACTTAGTGCTTATAAAACACCCTGTGGAAATCTGTACTTGGGGTGACTTACCCGATTTACAGCTCTGGGTGAGTAAGCGTTTGTTTTCCGGTGATAACCTACTTCTGACTCATAGATAAGTTGTTTGTGTTTCTTGTTTCCTCCCTGGTACAACGGGAATAAAACGATCAATACCCAGCCTGCGTGTTTGAATGGGGGTCTAGAAGTCATGCTGGGCCCTTTGGAAGAACCACCTCGAGCGCCTCACGGGAGTCTTGGTATTCCTTATCAGTTCCACGAATAGTCTGCTGTCTTGGCAAGGGGACAGCGCCTCTCTCCTCCCTTCATTAACTCAAAAGTCGAAAAGAAAATGCTTTTCAACGGTTATTTTTTTTTTTTTTCAACACTGGCTTACTGCTGGGAATGCTCGTCTCCTTGACATAAAGTTTAGCACTGAGACACAAAACAGACAGAACGTTTTGTCTTTAGGTGCCAGTTTCTTCAGTTGTCTAATGAACATGCGACAAATATATTACTAGCTAAATTCAAGTGCAAGGCATACAATTGAAAAATATTTAAAATAGAGCCCATCATGTTACTTTAGAAAGGTTGAAGCCCCTTAGGCTTTCTGTCAGTGTTCAGCATCGCTGTGGTCATCAAGGTGTGGCTTGAAGCCCTCAGCAGGTAAGAAGGAGCCACATCACTCTCATTACCCTGTTCCCCACCACCCCTTGCTTCTTATGCAGTGCACAGCTCTGGGACTACTAGCCACGGGCTAAGTTGTCAGGAAGCATAGTTTAGACACCAGCCTGAGTCTGAAGGCCAGTGTATGTATGTGTGTCTACTCCCGCACTTCATCTTCGTGGGTGACTGTCACTGTCACCGTCCTCGCATTGTTCATCGATTTGCTCACACGGGCCCAGGAACGTCTTCATTGTGAGATTTTGTTGTTACTGTGTTTGGCATATTGAATACATCACGGGTAACTTGTTAGGCTTTGCCGAGCGGGTGAGATACGCTCGGTAGTTTGCCGGGCTCTCCAAGAGGGGCGGAGGAATCGAACCCGGCTTAGCCGGGCTGGCTGCGCACAACGCCCTACTGCTGTGCTAATGGGCCTAAATCACTTTCACTCCTTTAAAGGTCGATCAGCTCTTCACACAAATAGCTCTCTTCATTGCTGTTATCTTGGTTGTCTAACAACCAGATCCAGTGGTACTCCTGCTTCATCATTCCTAGCATCCTTAACAGCCACGCAGATGGTTCATTAATTCAACACGCTGGCCTGCAGGTGGCCTCTGAATGACTTAGTCTTCTGTCCTGGCCAGTGAACCCCAACACACTGGAGTATGATCCCCCTGGTCGCTGGACTTACTCCCTGTAGGAGAGGGAGTAGGAATGGAAGAAGCCTCTGCCCTGGTCCTCTGCGCACATCGGACTCCCGCCGCCACCGAGAAAGAACCACAAGGAGGGAGGAAAGCTGGTGATCAAGCAGCAATCCTTTTATTAGCTCTCACATAGGGGTTTTTATACATCCATTTCAAGGGGCAATCCACATGTATCACATTTACCTTGTCAGGCTCAACGCAGATGTTAGTTAATGGTTTACATCGCCCGCTTTCAGGGCCAGGTGTATTAACTCAGGCAGATGCTAACTATTACATCCCCCATCCTCAACCAGAGTGCCTACGTATGTGGAGTACTGGAGCAAGCCCCTGAGCCCCTGTAAACAGAGCCAGCTCTTTCTTTCAGGGGGAGGGGATTTAGTCAAAGTCTCAGGCCAGCTACTGAGACCCCAACAGTCTTCTCCAACTAAATCATATGGCCTTACCCAGAGTAATTGCACCACGTTCAGATATGTCTTAAATATTCGATTTTCTGACACTACCTCTTTTCAGTCTTACATTGCTGTAATTCTCTGCTCTTACCAAGTGTCTAATACTTCGACTTTTTTGTTTTTGTTTTTGGGTCACACCCAGTAATGCTCAGGGGTTACTACAGGCTCTGCACTCAGGAATCACTGCTGGTGGTGCTCAGGGGACCATATGGGTTGCCAGGGATTGAACCCAGGTTAGCCTCATACAAGACAAATGCCCTACCCTCTGTGCTATCACTCCCGTCTCATACTTCGACTTTTACTAACCATTCCGTTTGAGTCCTCATTTCCTTTCTGGTCTAATTTAAAACTGATGTATTGACATTATACTATACCCTCTGAACAACTTTAATCCCTTGCACTTTTGTGCTCTATTACATTTTCCAAGGATAATCATAACTCTGTGAAATCCAATGACTGGGTTGATGAATCTGAATTCTGCTTTATGGCCACAGCCTCAGATTAACATTCATGTTCTGAATGATTGCTAATGTACCAATTACATGCACATATATCAATTGCTAATGTACCAATTACAAGAACATGTACCAATTATATTTTCCCAGTTATATTCCCTTGTCCCTCTGTCACTCATTTTTATTTCCTTTCCTCAAATGTCTGAGACATTTATTTTCTTCTTACACAGTGAGAGCTACTTGATTCTATTACCCCTTCCTATACAGACGCTTGTGTTCAATTTTTATATACTTCGCCCACTTTTCTGATGCATTTAATATAAGCCCTTTCTTGACTCCTGACCCCACTTTCTCTACATCTGAGTTCTTGGCTCCCTGCAACATGTATTGAGTTTATTCTCTGGCTCCAGGATCTCACTTTGCATTCTCCTCTCAATGTACTCCAAATTAGTTGTTTATCCCTGGCATGATGCTTATTCATTATTTCCTCCCCGCCCTGACCAGGGCTCCGGCAGCTGAAGACCTCCAGGACCAGCCACCACCATGCTGAGACCACTCTCCGCACACATGAAGGTACTGGCAGAGGGACAAAGCCACGCGGGTTCCGGGGCCGAGATCTCCAAGCCTACTTGGATTGGAGTTGAGCATCCTCCACCCAGATCCTCCAAATTCCAGTAGGCGGGGGTCACACCCACCACCTGGCCCCCTGGCACCGTGTAATCCCATCAGCGGCCAAGACTCAGAGACTATAAAATCCAGATCCCGGAACCACGCGACCGCATTTGCGGCCGCACGACATCTTATCAGAACATCTTTTTATGACATCTTATTATCTCATTCCTACTTTGGACAAACTTGCAGGCTACCGAATGTAGCCTGCCCACAGGGCAGAGTCTGGAAAACTCCCCGTGGCGTACCAAATATGCCAAATACCAGTAACAATGATGGGTCTCACTCTCCTAAAGAGCCTTGAATATAATCTCAGGGCTAGGATGAAAGAGATGTTACTGGGGCCTGCTCGAGGCAATTGACGAATAACAGGATGATGAAATGAAAAAAAAATGAAAAAATGATCCTTATTGAAACACCTTTTGATGTTAATACATGACTTTTTTAGATTTTTCTGTATCATTGGACATCGTTGACCACAACCTATTACTTTTGATTATTATTTTTACTTTTTATTATTATTATTTTGATTATTACTTTTGATTATTTGTTGTGCTTTGTTTTGGGCCAGGCAGTGCTTGGGGCTTACTTCTGACTTTGCACCCAGGGATCATACCTGGCAGTTCTCAGGGGACCACATGGGCTGCTGGGGATTGAATCCAGGTCAGCCACATGGAAAGCAAACACCCTACCTGCTGTGCTATCATTCTAGCCTTGGATCTGAGTCTTGCCATCTGTTACTTGTTTTCCACATGATCATATTCTTTTGTTTCTTTATTTTAATTTTATCTTCCTTTCTTTGAATTAAGTATTTTTTATTTTTTTTAATTTTATTTTTATAGAGTTGTTCACAATAATTGATTGCAGTATTTAAAACCGTTTACAAAACGGTCTGAGGTTGTTCCCATTCGAGGCTTCACACCTTGAGAGCAGGGCTTGTTCAGCACTGGAGCTCCGAAATCCCGCTGTGGAGCAATCTGCTGGGCTTCTCCCCACTGGATCACGCCTATCTAAGAATGCAGCTGCATTTGGTTTTCTACCTTTCTGGACCTAACAGTAGCCCCAGTAATCTGAAAAGACACATCAAAGATGGAGGCACCTCCTTTCCTTGCAAATAAAGCCTTACAGATGAGTTATTTTTTCTGTTTTTTGGGCCACATGGTGGTGTTTGGAATTACTCCTGGCTCCTACTACTTACTGAATTAGTCTGTGCTCGGGATCACTCCTGTCGGTGCTCAGGGGGACCATATGGGGTGTTGGGGATTGAACTTAGTTCAGCGGCATGCAAGGCAAGTGACCCACACATTGAACTATTCCTCTGGCCCCAAAGATGAGCCATTTTTCTAACTGTTCCATCACTGATTTCTCTGGCTAGTGTTTATCCAACCAAATACATTGCTAAAGAAAAATGCAGGCAGTTCCTGGCCCCCTTCCCATCTCCTCAGCAACAAACAGGACAAGCATTCTTAGAGCTGTCGCACCGCTAGTAGTGCATGCCGTAGAGCTAAGAAAAGGAGCAGCTGATTATGGTATTTCCTTGCTCTGTACTAAATACAATTGTTTTAACCGTATTATCGCTTTGAAATCAAACTTCTAAAAGCTTAATAATCTTCAAATAAAATTTTTTGTTATTTTGGGTCCACATCTGGCAATGCTCAGGG